ATCTTGCCAGACTGAATCTAAACTTCCCAAGCCAGCAAGCAAACACTGCGAATTCCTTAGGATGGTGCCAGTCTCATCCTCTTCACCTTCCCACACTCTTTCTCGGGGCTAAGGAAATGCTTATCTCCCCGAGCGCGGCCTTCACCAAGCCATTCCATCACAGACCCTAAGCTTTACTCAGCCTCAATCTGCTGCCTTTCCAAGGCCTTCTGTGCTCTTTGGACACTCAGTGTGATGGACCAAAATATCATGGGGGGGAACCAGAAGAGCAACATCCAGCTCCTACCACAAACAGGTTTTCTACACACTGTCACTCAAAATGCAGGATCCTGTGGGATATGTGTTAATGGTGGGAATATTCCCTGTGTTTGCTGAGTAATCTGTTCCGTTTGGGTGTGTACTGTATTCATAGGCAAAGGTGTGCCCTTTTTTCCCCACCAGGTTCTCTTGGAAAAGTATAAATATGTAGAGAACTTCTGCTTGATTGACGGGCGCCTTATCATCTGTACCATCTCCTGCCTCTTCGCCATCGTGGCTTTAATATGGGATTACCTTCATCCCTTCCCGGAATCCAAGCCAGTCCTTGCTGTCTGCGTGGTATCATATCCTTTTTTGGTGCTTCCCACCTTAAAGTTTTTTTTTTTTTTTTAAGATGTTTTATCCCACCTTTCTGATTTTTATAAATAACTCAAGGGGGTGAATATACCTAATACTCCTCCCTCTTCCTTTTCCCCACAACAACAACCCTGTGAGGCATGTTGGGCTGAGAGAGAGGGACTGGCCCAAAATCGCCTAGCCGATTTTCATGCCTTGGGCAGGACTGGAACTCACCGTCTCCTACTTTCTGGCCTGGGGCCTTCACCACTACACCAAACTGGCTATTTATTTATTTGGGTTTTATCCCATCTCTATATTAGTCAATTCAAGGCATCCCACAGATCTTATTATTGCTCCTCCTATCTTCTCCACAACAATCACCCTGTGAGGCAGGTTGGTCTGCGAGAGAGGAACTGGCCCAAATTCACCCAGCTGGCTTCATGACTAAGGGAGGACTTGAACTCACTGTCTCCTGGTTTCTAGCCTGGTGCCTCAACCACTAGACCAAACTGGCTTTCCACACTTCACTGGTTTTTTTGGCCTCTGAACCTGAAGCCCTGAGACAATTTCCTGACATCTTTTTTGCCAGGTTCAGTGAGCTCATGTTAGCCTTCCCAAGTCTGATTCTCTGGCCATTTTCAAGCAGAAAGAAATCTGGTTTCATTTATCTTTTTATCCTGGGTGGTTCTCACAGGCTGATGGTGGATGGCCTGAAGTTTGTACTCCAAAAAGAAAAAAAAAATGTGTTGGGATAATAGGTTATGAGTCACAGAAGAACAATGATAATCCTAATATAAAATGAAATCATAACATAAAATGATAATGTGCAATAAATGGAGCAACTGCAGTGTTATTTATTTCATTATTCATTTATTGGGATTTGAGTCATCTCAAATTATCAGTGCAATAATCATCAACTAATAAGCTTTCCCTAGCCCTCATTAAAATACCATAATAATCATAATGATAATCATGATCATTGTTAGGAGTAGAAGTTGGTTCTCTGCGTTGTAGTACTTGATTCCAACTTGCAACCCTCTGAATGTGTTTTTGATGCTGTACGATCAAGGGCCAGATCAGTGATCAGATCTTGTTAGGTCTGAATCAAAAGCTAAACCCAAACATATGCTCAGAATGAAGGATTGGTGCCATGATACTTCATTATAACACGTGAGAAAAAGGTCAACAGTTAAACAACAATAAATGCATTTAAGCAGCAGCAGGGTAAATTCTTCTGAAGAATCATTTGATCTGTCAGTTTTACAAGTTCGAAAAAGTTCTCTATTTCCCCATGGTTATATGGAGGTGCTAAAGACAAAAGACATGTTCCATGGTTTTAATTGCTCATATTCATTCTGAGGAACTACAGATCTGTTGACTTCAATACTTCAGACTTCACAGTAGCTTCATGATGTATAGCATCTCTCTGATTTATTGTCTTATTCTTTCCATGAAGTTGTACATCAGCTCGGAACGCAGCATTTTGCTACCAAATAGAGAGAGCAAAGGTAGATTCTTCAAAGAGAATTTGGTTTCAGACTATGTCTCCTTGAAGCAAGAGTTTAAATGTAAAGCCGCCTTTGGTTAAACCATGGCACCAACCAGTACTTCATTTGTTTCAAGATGTGTCCTTTGAAAATAGTTTGTAAAGCAGCAGTCCCCAACCTTTTTGGCACCAGGGACCGGTTTCATGGAAGACAATTTTTCCACGGACCGGGAGAGGGGGATGGTTTCAGGATGATTCAAGCGCATTACGTGATAGGGTTTTGATATGAGTCTGCAAGCAACTGATTTATTATGGTCTCTGTGCAGTCAAACCTCTCTGCTAACAATCTGTATTTGCAGCCGCTCCCCAGTGCTAGCATCACCGCCTCAGCTCCACCTCAGATCATCAGGCCACAGATCTGACAGGAGGCAGAGCTCAGGTGGTAATGCGAGTGATGGGAAGCAGCTGTAAATACAGATGAAGCTTTGCTCGCTCACCCGCCACTCACCTCCTGCTGTGCAGCCCGGTTCCTAACAGGCCACGGACCGGTACCGGTCTGCTGCCTGGGGGTTGGGGATCCCTGTTGTAAAGCATAAGTTTGGGTAAAGCTTCTTTTGATTCAGACCTAACAGGATCTGATCACTGATCTGCTCCTTTTTCCCAGAGCATCAAAAACACATAGGGAGAATTCCAACTTGCAATAAGCTGAATTGTTTTTGTTGTACGAATTAAAAACCAAAAACCTAGGCATTTGCAAAATACTTTCTGCTGAGGGTGTTCAGGTTAACTGGTGGGGAGAATGAACTCAGGGAAAAGGGCTTGTCCCACCAGTTTGGAAGTTGAGATGTAGGACCATACCAGGAAAGGAAACTTGGGGCTGTGGAAAAGGGCAGCTTTGCATGCCTGTAGGAAGAAGACAAAATCTCCAGGCCAGGATCTAAACTAGCCAACATCGTAGTCCTATGTAGGCTAGGGATCAGGGAGTTTGAAGACCACTCCACCTGGAAAACATCATTTGGGGAAAGCTGTTTTGGAGAGTTTCCTCAAATGGACTCTGTTCTTGAAATCCTCTTGTACCAAGACCTCATATCTTTCTTTAACCTTGCCCAACGTATTTTGTAATGATGGGAATTCTGACCATCTATACCTCATATAAGGAGAAGAGCATTTTTCTGGTAGCACATAGGAGAGATCCAACAGGGATGGATCCTGACGACATCTGGCAGCTTTCCTCAAGCCTGAAAAGGTACCGCCTGCTCCAAGACTCCCCAAGTTCTGCATAGAAGTGAAAGGGTTTTGTGGGGAAATCATGCAAACTACTAGAAGGCCAACGGTTTGCTCGTCCCCACCGAGAATTAAGCTGAAGTTGTGTTGCGAGTATCCGTATGCAAAATAATTTGAGTTTCTCACATTGCAAGCTTGGAACAGCCCCTTTTGTGCTCCGAGCAGCCACTTGAACCTTAGCAGAAGCATTCCCACCTTCTCTTGACCACGTCACGTGTGTTCCAAGGTCGGGACAGGGAATTTCCAGCTCAAAATGCTTCTGGAATGGTAGGAATGGCACTGAAACACTTTGGGTGAGTTTGGAAGCTGTTTTGAGTTGGAACATTTTGCACACCCCTGGTTGGAAATTGAGCGGGGATGGGGGCAATAACCCAATAGCAGAAGTTGCGCTCTGTAACTCCCCTTGTTCCTGACACTCCTCTGTGCATGGTCTGGGCTCTTCACTTCTATGCAGATGGGTTCTGGTTTTGTTTTGTTTTTTAATTGCATCTAGATTATTCGAGATCCCACTCTCATTTCTGCATATGAAAGCTCTGCTTCCTTATGTATGTATACATTTAAGGTATTTTTACCCCATTTTTCCGATTAAAAAACAATCAACCAGTGAAAAGCAAAATTTAACTCAAATTAGAAACCACAGTTTCAACGTAACATACACATTTGGAAGATCAGTTTCTCAGAAGTACGAGGCTTAGAAAACCTGCTGGTCATAGTGGGTATCATCATCATAACAACACCTGTATCACCTACGTTACAGGCCAGCCGAATTCAGTTACAAACTTTTTTTTTTTTAAAGTACCACCAGGGTCATACATTTCACCAGCTGGATGGTTCTTAACCTAATAGGTCAAAATCTTTTATCTTACAAATGTTTGTGTAACCCTCTTTCTAGGTTTGACGACAAATACAGCCTGAAAATGACATTCATCAGCGGCCGAAGCAAGCAGCAGAGAGAGGCAGAGTTCACCAAATCCATCGCCAAATTCTTTGACAGCAATGGGACCTTAGTAATGGAAGCCTTTGAACCAGAAGTTTCCAAGCTTCATGACAGCCTGCTTACAGAAAGGAAGATCAAATAGGCTGTATCCCATGTTCACCTTCCCACTTATCATGCTGAGCTTTAAGCCAATAAAGAAACGAGCAACGAATGACAACCTCCCATTTTGTCCAGAGATCCTCTCTCCTTCTTTTCTTTCTCTCTCTCTCTTGTTCTGTCTCTCTCGAGCGAAAGAGGGTTTTTAATTTAGGACGTGCAAAACAGACCTCAAGGTCTAGTTTGGGCTAGTTTTGCTTCACTTTAGGTCAACGTCTGTTCTTTTCAAGTGCTTTGTGAAAATAGGTTTGCAAAGAATTTCTGGAAGAGGTTGAGGCTAAGTTTATTTTTTATTTTTAAAATAGCAGTGCACTAAAGCAGTTCTGTGGGCATTGTCAAATTAAAAAAAAAAAGGGAAGGAAAAGCTGAATTTGGGTTTGTGTGGGTCCCAGCTTTCGGCAGGGAGGGAACCTTTAGTTAATTGTTTTTGTGTTTTCCATTCTGTGTGTCATTTAACTGATTTGTCAAGGTCCAGTCAAGTTTTCTTTTTTTATCTCAAGCCACTGAAAGTAGTTTTGGGGATGGAAATTTGATTTGGAGTAACTGGTAGGAAATAGGTAACTTTGCCAGACTATTTCAGGCTGAAGACAAAGGAAAAAAAGTTAAGATTTTAAAAATATTTTTCATCTGTGCTTTGTCCCTTTCTGGTGCATTTATCCATGCGATTAAAAAAGAGGAAACAAAACCTCTTTTTGTTCCCTACATAAACTGCCATTTTCTAAAAAATAGTTTTTTCTCCAATAAAAGACAGAAACTTAACATGGCAACTGTGGAATTGTTAATGAGTGGGGTGCACAGTGAAATTAGGTTTGTTTTTTTTGTTTTGTTTTTGTTTTGTTTTTGTTTTTTTTATGGTAGTTCTGTCTAATTCAGTGTTTCTCAACCTTGGCAACTTCAAGCTGTGTGGACTTCACCTCTCAGAATTCTGGGCGTTGAAGTCCATACATCTTCAAGCATGCTGGCTGGGGAATTCTGGCAGTTAAAGCCCATATACAGTGGTACCTCTACTTACGAACGCGCCTCGACTTACGAACCGGATCCGCGGCCATTTTCCACCAGTTCCATGTGGTCCGCAGCCATTTTCCGCCCGTTCCACATGGTCCGCAGCCATTTTTCCACCCCTGACACGTCCACGGCCATTTTTCCGCCCTGCTGCGTGGTCAGCGGCCGTTTTTCTGCCCCTGATGCGTGGTCCGCAGACGCTGGAATGGATTAACGGTAATTACATTGAACCTTATGGGAAAATTTACTTTGACTTGAGACCAATTCGACTTGCGATCAGAGTCACGGAACGGATTAAGTTCGTAAGTAGAGGTACCACTGCATCTTAAAGTTGCTAAGGTTGAGAAACACTGGTCTAATTATTTACATATGCATACACACACGGCTGATCTGAATCACTTTGTGAATACATAGAGATAACAAAGTTGTTGAGGTTGAGAAATACTGGGCTAGAGAACCATTAGAATTTCAAAATAAAGTGTCCCTAGAAAGGTTGAATTTGATTTGTTTGGTTTATTCACATTTAGAAGCCACTATCTCCTACCGGTTGTCAGCAGTTTACAGATTGATTTGCCCACTGCTTCTCCATACTTCTGGGCTGATACTGCAAAGCTATTGGGCTGGGTGCGGGACAGATCTCTAGAAATGTCCTGGAGAAATGGGGTGAGAATAAGACGCTACATGGACGCACAACAGCACTGATGTGATCCCTGCACTGAAAGTCCACCCAAGCATATGGGATGGGTACTCGTTGATTGGTGCTCATTGGTGGTCTGCTACAGATCCATACTGGCTTTGTTCCCTCTAGTGCAGTATTTCTCAACCCTTGTCCCCTCACGAATGGGCTGGGTGCGCACACACAGACCCTTCACCCTATACAGCCCCCCCCCCCGCCTCCTC